GGGAGGAGGAAGAAGAGGAGGAGGGGGAAGAGAAGGGGATAGCAGAGAAGAAGGGGGCTGGATGGAGTCCCTGAAGCAGTCAGTGTGAGCTTAAATGGATTCTCTATTTCACTATATTACTTTATTTGATTTTTTTTCAAGTTTTATTGTTTTTTAAATTGTGGTTTTCTATGTGGTAAGCCACCTTGAGTCGCCATGGCGAACCGGCAGCAGTGCAAATCTGATAAATAAATTAAACAAACAAATAAATAAATTAGTACGTAACTCGGTTTGAATTAAACTCAGTTTTCTGGACTGCCATCTTGTCAGAAATGGTGTAGGGTCCCCTGCTTGGGCAGGGGGTTGGACTGGATGACCTCCAAGGTCCCTTCCCCCTGTGATGATCTGCTATCTAACGGATCATGACTGTGACAAAGCTCACCCCCCCACCCCTAGCCTCGGTGCCCCTTATCCCACGGAGGGGCACCCCAGATTTTCATTTCCATGTCAGGCCAGCCCCCTCCTCTTTGACTCTCCCCCCCTCCAAATCTCTTAACATGGGGAGGGGGCTGCTTACCTGGGCAATGAGGATCCCGATGACAATAGCCAGCTGGTTCATGGTCCCCAAAGCCCCCCGAAGCTTGGTGGGGGCGATCTCCCCCACATACATGGGGACCAATCCGGAGGCAAATCCTGCACAGAGGGGGGGGGAAGAGGTGTGCGTGTGAATGAGACTCCCCTCAATTGCCCCTACCCAGAAGGGGGGGGGAATCCACTGAAATGCTTCTTTCTCGGGGGGGGGGGGGAACGATGTTGAAAAACCATCCCTGGGCTAGTTGTGGAGGCATGCTGCTCTTGAACATGGAGGCTTGACAGGACGGAGGCTTCAGGTTTGCTAAACTTAGGGTCATCGTGGGTTAGCTCAAACCCCACCCCCCATCAACAGCTCCTTGGATTTTAGGACATTTTTGTCCTCCTTCTCATATAAGTCGGTTGGAAGATAGATTGGTGGAGTCGATTTTCATTCCTTCCTTCGTTCGTTCGTTCGTTCATTCATTCATTCGTTCGTTCGTTCATGCCTTGACTGCATTGAGATACCATTCTAGTCAAATCTAGTCCAGTGCAATTGAGATAACTGAGTTCTAGTCCACTCTAAAAGCCAGCTGGGTGATTTTGGGCCAATCACCAGGAGACGGGGAGTTCTAGTCCCGCCTTAGGCATAAAAGCTGGCTGGGTGACTTTGAACCAATGAGAAGGAGATGGTGAGTTCTAGTCCCGCCTTAGGCATGAAAGCCAGCTGGGTGACTCTGGGCCAATCACCAGGAGAATAGGAGTTCTAGTCCCGCCTTAGGCATGAAACCCAGCTGGGTGACTTTGGGCCAATCCCCAGGAGACTGGGAGTTCTAGTCCCGCCTTAGGCATGAAACCCAGCTGGGTGACTTTGGGCCAATCCCCAGGAGACTGGGAGTTCTAGTCCCGCCTTAGGCATGAAACCCAGCTGGATGACTTTGGGCCAATCACCAGGAGACTGGGAGTTCTAGTCCCGCCTTAGGCATGAAACCCAGCTGGATGACTTTGGGCCAATCACCAGGAGACGGGGAGTTCTAGTCCCGCCTTAGGCACGAAAGCCAGCTTGGTGACTTTGGGCCAATCACCAGGAGACGGGGAGTTCTAGTCCCTTTTAGGCATGAAATCCAGCTGGGTGACTTTGGGCCAATCACCAGGAGACGGGGAGTTCTAGTCCCGCCTTAGTCACGAAAGCCATCTGGGTGACTTTGGGTCAATCACCAGGAGACGGGGAGTTCTAGTACTGCCTTAAGGCATGAAAGCCAGCTGGGTGACTCTGGGCCAATCACCAGGAGACTGGGAGTTCTAGTTTCACCTTAGAAAAGCCATCTATGTGACATTGGGCCAATTACTAGGAGACTGGGAGTTCTAGTTCCACCTTAGGCATGAAAGCCACCTGGGTGACTTTGGGCCAATCACCAGGCAACAGGGAGTTCTAGTCCCGCCTTAGGCATGAAAGTCAGCTGGGTGACTTTGGGCCAATCACCAGGCAACAGGGAGTTCTAGTCCCGCCTTAGGCATGGGTGACTTTGGGCCAATTACCAGGAGACAGTGGGTTCTAATCCTGATTTCGGCATGAAAGCTTATTGGGTGACTTTGGGCCAATCAACAGCAGACTGGGAGTTCTAGTCCCACCTTAGGCATGAAAGCCAGCTGGGTGGACTTTAGGCCAATCACCAGGAGACGGTGAGTTCTACTCCCGCCTTAGGCAAGAAAGGCAGTTGGGTGACTTTGGGTCAATCAACAGCAGACTGGGAGTTCTAGTCCCACCTTAGGCATGAAAGCCAGCTGGGTGGACTTTGGACCAATCCCCAGGTGACGGTGAGTTCTAGTGCCCCCACATATCTCCCTCCCTCCCCCCCCGTTACTCAAGACCCGACAGGAGGAAAACCATCCTCCACCCTCCCCTTGCATGAACCGGTGACCCCACCCAAACCCCGCCTTACCTGAGAAAGCCCCGATCACAAACCGCCCGAAGATCATCATCTCGTAGGATTTGCCTAGCTTGGCCAGCCCCATCAAGCCGCCACCGAGAAAGGCCAAGCCATTGTTGATGATCATGGCTCTTTTCCTGGAGAAGGAAAGGGGACCACACAGAATGGACAATGAAGCTCACTCGGGGGGGGGGGCTCCCCACCAAGGAAGGCCCCATAGCTGCAGAGAGAAGCTCCTTTTCCAAAGCAAACCCCCATCAGACCATCTTCCGCCCATCTGTTCATTTATCCGGGATTAAACCCAGTTCGGGCTTTGGTTCCCACCCCTCATGTCGCAAAGCACTGCAGGGCCCTAGGAAATATCACCAGGCGGGCAGTCCTCGACTAATGACAGTTCGTTTAAGGGACCGTTCGAAGACTGAGGACCATTCCTCACCCTTACGACTGTGGCAGGTTCCCCGCGGTCACAAGATCGAAATCTGGACCTTTCGGCAAAAGGCTCAACGGGGGAGGCCGATTCACTTACTGACTGCCTGACTAGCCTAACCATGGCAATGAAGGCGGTCAAAACGGGGCTAAAAATGACCGAACAAAAACACCTCCCTTAACGACAGAAAGGTTGGTCTCCGTTGCAGCCGTTGAGGATGTCCAGCCTGTAAGTCGTAAGTCGAGGACTACCTATAAAGTTGGTGCGCCAGAGCTGGCTCCGATTAGGATCAATGCCGACATGTGTCGCTCCTAATAAATCTTTTGGATTCTTTCGAAGTTTGACTCATGGCTCATGATTTAATCGGGGCAATCGCTGGAAACCTGACCCTGATGGCTTAGGTCTTGGCTCTTGCCCGGTGTAGCACACTCTGCCCATGCTCAGAGGGGGAGGAGCCCAACCCAGGAGGGAGGGGGGGGGC